CTGGCACAAGGAATAATTGTGTTATCAAATTACGTATACTAGGGTATGCCAAGCTTGGAATTCAAAATCTTCCCACTTTTATTGCAAACTATTTGAGGTGGCAACCATGTTTTGTTTTATGTTCATAAAGTACCTAGCACAATGCAGTTCTAGTCCGGACTGGGGCCCCATGGCATTGCTTCAGTGCATACTAATAATTAATATCAGTATCCACCTAGACACACTGGGTTGTTTTTTGCTGGGAATTAACTATTACGTAACTTCAGCTATTTTGTCAGTTTACTCTTGTACTCTTATATTTTTCCTACTGTATAAATCTGTGGTCAGATTTAACTGTCTAGATTCAGTAATAATAATGGTACATCTACACAGTAGTGTGTTGCTCGAAATAAGCTACGCAATTTGAACTATGCAAATGGTGTAGCTTATTCAAGCTATCCTATTTCAAAATTTGGTGCTATCTAAACAGCCCAAATTTTGAAATAGAGCTCTATTTTCATGATATTTATGGGACATCAGAATAACAAGACTGTTAAGATCTCATACTCTAAGAGCGCATGTTACTTCTGCTTATCTCTGTTAGGGTTGCTTCTACAATTTGAAATGTTGGCTGTGAATTCAGTAGTCCTCATCAACCAATACCAACATACTGGTAATCATGCGGATTTCAAGCAGGCAAAACTCCCACAGACATCCTTTTTCTTAAGAAACATCAACAATAGCAGTTGATTTGATTCAATGGATCTTTTTCAGTTCACTTTCCAACAAGCAAATGCTTTTTCCATCGTTCATTGTACACATGCGTCATTTTGGATTCACAAAACCTTTTGCTATTTTTCTTCATTTGTAACCAAGTAAAAAGCTTTCATGTGCATCTGTTTCATATTGCTGATGCTGATGCTCACCATCAAGATGTATGTCTCAAACAGTCATAGGGTTCCTTTTCTGACCTTCTCTTCCTCTGAAGATACAGCTAAACTAAAGGTATGATTCCCCTGCTCACATACACACAGTCACTGACTTCCCCAGTTCCTTAGGGGTTACTCAACTCCTGCTCCACTTCAAGCCCTGCCCCCAGTCCATCCCTTCCTAAAAGCCTTAATTCCTGCCCTACCCCGCTTCACCTCTTCCTGCCACTTTGGTAGGAGGAAAAGGCATTGATCATAGGGTTGTCAGTGGGTGCTGAGCACCCACTATTTTTCCTTGGGTGTACTATCCCCAGAGCACCCATGGAATCAGAATGAAGATATACACCTGCTCATGGTAGCTATCACTGAGATAGCGTGTTTATAAATAACAGCATAGCCTGGGTAGCACTGGTGGTGGCAACAGATCCTTAGCCTTAACCATGAAAAACATAAACATACATTAAACTGGTGAGCACACATTCTAAGCTATGCCTCTATTGCTGCTATCTGTGCCCCTATGGCCACATTCCTATTTATACTAATGCTAGCTTATTGAGAGCTACAAGTATGTGTATGTAACAGGTGAATCATTCACCTCAAATTTCCATCCTGGGAGGTTTTTAAGGACAGGTTTCTCAGGGAATCATACCTGTCTGGGATGATTTAGTTGGGGTTTGGTCTTGCTTCAAGAAGGGGGTTGAATTAGGAAACCTCCTGACGTCTCTTCCAACCCTAATCTTCTCTGATTCTCTGAACATAGTATAAATGTAACTTGATACAGATCAGAACACTTTTGTCTGCTTCTCCATAAATTCTATCAAAGTAAAGGTTTTGCAAAGCCATTCACTGTGTTCTACCCCACTGACCTAGATTCTGTTTTTTAACATGATTGATGCTCAACTGGCTTTCTCTCATCATGCTCTCATGACCTGTGTATCCAGCATTTATGTACCTTTTTATGTCCGTCCTCTTTCAATGTCCTAAAGTTTGGTATGTCCCTTTTCTGCACACTGAGACCTTTACTAAGACACTTTGGAATTCTGAACTAGTGTCAAAATGGTACCATCTACAGTACATGATTAAGAAAGTAAGGGTTTTTCTTCCCAGTCATTTCACCTACATCTCCTGAGACGTCTCAGCTTTTGGTCACAGTTTTCAGAGGCTTTCGCTGACATCTAGTACTGCTCAGGTTTTTTTTTGTCAAGAGAGCATCACCATCTTGCAGTTTTCAGTCACTTACACAATCATATTCTCGTCAGGTGAAGGTGACTACAATTGCACCTTCAAATAGATGCTCATCACAGAAACTCATCCTTTCTAGGAGTGCAGGAGCCATGTTCTTCGGAGTCTTTGCGATCCTCCTTGAAAGTAGGAATAAGAGATCCTCCGGAAAAGAGCTTATTGTCCGGAGGATCGCGTCCAGACTGGCGCTTTTCTCCGGCTTATCTACAAGCCGGAAAAAAGCGGCAGCCATGTTAATGCAAATGCCACGGGGGATATTTAAATCCCCCGCGGATTTGCCTATTCCAAAGTGCTACATTTGCATCCCTATTACGGAATAGGGGCCAATGTAGACACAGCCAGGCAGTATCACTGCAAGTTTTTCCAGTCTTCCTTGTCAAAGTCTCTCTGTGCTGATTGAAAGGCCACCCAGAAAAGGAGAAGACCTCTGTCTTCAAGCTCATTCTGGTTTTGGATTCACTATTGATGTGATACTGGGAGCAAAGTTACTAGCTCCAGTCCCAGTCCTTCAAACACTTATAAATGTGCCTGGCTTTACTCAGATGTGTTTTATTGATTTAAATAGTAAAAACTACATAACTAATACTAAAAATGTACCAAAGCATTTGTGGGAGCATGATCTATTATGGTGAGATTGTAATGTGAATATCTCTCTGCAAGGAACTGGACTGAGGTCACTATGTCATTCCATATAAGCCATCAAACAGCTAAAATAATAAAATTTTCTCTGAAAATAAGAACTCCTTTTGACTACTTAAAAGAAGAGAAATATTTCTAATCTCTAATACATGGAAAATCATAGTTTGGGATTTACATAAATTATGAAAAAATCGCAAACACTTCCAGTGGCTAGCAGCACTAGATAAGTCAATATAAATGAATAATGAATTGAGATGATATGCTCTGTATTTGTATTCTAGAAATATCATGGTCATCAAGCCACTGTTTGATATTTAGGAGCTGTTCTGATACAGCAAACAACACATTTACAATCTTTACAATGGACTTTTATAATCCCTTCTACATAATAATTATTTTCTTCAAGCAAGGGGAAACAAACTTAACTTTTTAAAATATATATCTGGTAAGTGGGAAAAGATCTTTATTTTATATGAATATTCTTTAATAGTATTAATTATTAAACAAATATTTTAGGTCATATTTTCAACCAGCCTTTTTATATGTGCTCATAGATTTTGAGATACCTCCATTGTATATATCTGCTTAGATTAAATCTTATTTGCATATGCATACGCTAAATGCACAAATGCAGATCTCAGTAAGTGAAAAAGGATGCTCTTGCAAATTTTGTAGGTCTATTGATAATTGAGCTCATTGATGAGACCTCAATTCATACAAATAAAAACTATTTACTTGTAGCAAGTGTTGCTTATGCAAGTGGTTTTTGTTTTCATTCTATTTACATGATATATTCAGAAAACACATACATGCTACCTATTTTCATACTGCTAAGAGAAGCTAAATGTAAGTAGAAAACTTTTGTTTTAGGGAAAAGAGACAGAAATTATTTCTATGCAGCCTCATTGGTATACCAGTAGAAGGCTGACATATTTTTTTTCCAAAGAGTATGGGCAGGAAAGGGAACAGATTCAGGACAGCTGTCAAAGCTTTTTCTGTGCATGATGGTGAAAAAGAGATATACCTCGGTCTACAGTAGGGGATAAATTCAAATTAAGAGATGCAACTTCAGCTATGTTTATTGTGTAACTGAAGTCCAAGTACCTTAACTCAAATTTTGGTGCCATCCGCAGTGTAGGAAGTCAAAGTGAGCACACTCTCCCTTTAACTTCCCTTACTCCTTGTAGAAGTGGGGCTATCAGCATCGACTGCACTGTCCCTCTCCGTTCGAATTAGCATGTCTTCACTTGACCTGCTAATTCAAACCCCGGAGGATTGACTGCAGCTGCTTTGATCTTCTCTTTAGTGTAAACAAGCCCATAGAGTGAAATTCGCTCCTGCACATAGGTCTTTCCAAAGAAATATGCAACATTAGTGCATAGGACTTGTGAGAATACTATATATAATGGTGATTTTAGTTGTAGTGAATGATTTATTGATAGCGCAGTACTCGGTTGGCTATGGACATGCAGGAGAGGTTTATCAATTAGCTCCCAAAGAATGGAATGAGCTGTGACTACATCTGGGTGCCTGAGGCAATATTTTCCTTTGACCCCTCCCTGGACAAGGCACATTAATTACTTCTGTAATGTTCTTCTGCAAATAGGTTCTGAGAATGAAATGTCCATGAAATGTAATTGCTATCCTTTTTCAAATTGTGCACTCTGATGAGGAATTAGCAAGGGAAATTATCTCACTTTCCAGTGCCCAAGGAATAGAAAAAAGCCAAGTACTGTATCAGCCAAAATGGTGTGTGTCGGGGGAGGTTATTCAGAGAAATGAAGGTCCTGTGAAATTCAGATTTGAATAATTAACTTACACTAAAGAACTCAGTTATCCTGAAAGGGACTTATATTTTGTTTTGGATGATACTACAATATTAACAGCTCTTTGGACCCAGTCCTTCAAACTCTGGCTCATCAGAGTGGTCCTTACCACGGTAAGGAATTTCATTGAAGTGGGAGCAGTGGGGAAACCTGATATCAAAAGTGTCTGCTTGCTTCTTGGTTTGTAGGCTTCAGATGATAAGTTCTATTTTATTTTATTTTATTTTATTTGCTGTGGTGTAAAATGATAATTTAAAGCATTTCAAAGCCTTTTATGTGACAATAGCTGAGAGTAAATTTGCTCTGTTTACAAACATTTGTGCTGCAGTTGCCAAGATGTGAAGATTAAACTGCTTTATAGAATTTACATGCGGTTTGTAAACAGGTTCAGGTGGCTATGCTGACAACCTTGTTGGTGCTGTCTCTGCAACTGGTCATGGAGAGTCCATCATGAAAGTCACTCTTGCAAGGCTTATTCTCTTTCATATGGAACAAGGTAAGGCAGTCCTCATATTGATAAATGCATCTCCGCTGCTTAAACACTATGGCTACGTCTAACACTGGCACGATTTTCTGGAAATGCTTTTAAGGGAAAAGTTTTCCGTTAAAAGCATTTTCGGAAAAGCGCGTCTAGATTGGCAGGACGCTTTTCCGGAAAAGCACTTTTTCCGGAAAAGCGTCCGTGGCCAATCTAGACGTGCTTTTCCGCAAAAAAGCCCCGATCGTCATTTCCGCGATCGGGGCTTTTTTGCGGAAAACACTACTGTGCTGTCTACACTGGCCCTTTTCCGGAACAGTTTTCCGGAAAAAGACTTTTGCCCGAACGGGAGCAGCATAGTTTTTCCAGAAAAGCACTGATGATTTTACATTAGATCATCAGTTCTTTTCCTGAAATTCAAGCGGCCAGTGTAGACAGCTGGCAAGTTTTTCCGGAAAAGCAGCTGATTTGTCAAAAACTCATCTGTTTTTTCGAAATTTTTTTTTAGAAAAGCAGGTGCGCTTTTTCTGCATCCCTGTAAACCTCGTTCTACAAGGAAGAAGGGATATTCTGAAAGAGAGGGATTTTTTCTGACATTTGGCCCCATGTAGATGGGCCAAATGCCGGAAAAGCCTCTTTTGGAAGAAAAGTAGAAAAAGATACGTTAATTGCAGTTCACAATTGCTGTTCACAATTTGAGTATCTTTTTCCAACTTTTTTTGTAGTGTAGACATAGCCACAGATTTCTCTATTGATTCTCATCCCTATTTCCTAAGCTTGACAAATGATATTGCGTACAAAACTAAGAAGAATGCAGGATGCTTATGTAATCAGAATCATACTCTATGTGCATTTGGAACATCCTCTCAATGTGCAGCAGTCGTCAAAAAAGCAAACAGAATTTGTTAGGAATCATTAAAAAGGAGATAAAGAATAAGACAAAGAATATCTTATTACTGCTGTATAAATCCATGGTATAGTCTCATCTTGAATACTGTGTACAGATGTGGCCACCTCATCTCAAAAAAAGGTATTTTGGCATTGAAAATGGTTCAGAAAAGGGCAACAAAGATGATTAGGGGTTTAGAACAGATCCCATATGAAGAGGGACTAAAAGGACTGGGACTTTTCATCTTAGAAAAGAAGAGACCGGGGGGGATATGAAAGAGGTTTATAAAATCATGACAAATATGGAGAAAGTGAATACGGAAAAGTTATTTACTTGTTCCCATAACACAAGATCTAGGGGACATCAAGTGAAATTAATAGATAGCAGATTTAAAACAAACAAAAGGAAGTATTTCTTTATGCAGTGCATAGCCAACCCGTGGAAAAACCTTGCCAGGGGATATTGTGAAGACTAGGACTTTAACAGGGTTCAAAAAAGAGCTAGATAAATTCATGGAGGTTAGGTCCATCAATACTTATTAGCCAGAATGGATAGGAATAGTGTCCCTTGCCTCTGTTTGTCAGGGGCTGCAAATGGGTGACAGGGGAGGGAGCACATGACAATTACCTATTCTGTTTACTCCCTTTGGGACATCTGGTATTGGCCACAATGAGAAGACATTCTTGTGTTCGTATAGAAGCTTTCAGTATACAGATAGGCTGCATCTAGACTGGCATGATTTTGTGCAAATACTTTTAACGGAAAAGTTTTTCTGTTAAAAGTATTTGCGCAAGAGAGCATCTATACTAGCATGCACCTTTGCACAAAAGATTTGCTTTTGCACAAAAGCATCCCTGCAAGTGTAGACTCTCTCTTGTGCAAGAAAGCTCTGATGGCCATTTTAGCCATCGGGCTTTTTTACGCTAGAAATTAACTTGGCTGTCTACGCCGGCCCTCTTGCGCAAGAATACTTGCGCAAGAGGGCTTATCCCTGAGCAGGAGCGTCGGAGTATTTCCGCAAGAACCACTGATTTTGTACAGTACAAAGTCAGTGTTCTTGCGCAAATACTCGTGGCCAGTGTAGACAGGCGGCAAGATTTTGCGCAAAAGCAATCGCTTTTGTGCAAAATCTTGCCAGTCTAGACGCAGCCATAATGTTTTGGAGGAAAATGTGTAACATATATTGAGTCCATTGTTAGCAACAGCACAATAACTCTAAGTTGCAGATTCTTTTAGATATTGTAAGCAGCCATGCAGAGGGGAAAGGACTATTTTACTTGCCCTGTTAGGGTACGTCTACACAGCAACATTATTTCAAAATAACTAGCATTATTTTGAAATAACTTAGTCCACATCTACACAGCAGGCAATTATTTCAAATTAATGTCAAAATACTGCCAAGCTGGAGGACTTCTTATTCTAACTCCTATAAACCTCATTGTATGAAGAGTAAGGGAAGTCGGAGGAAGAGTGCTCTATTTCGAAATAAGTGCAGTGTAGACACTCCCAATTTCAAAATAAGCTATTTTGAAATATCCTAATTGACATAGCTTAATTTGCGTAGCTTATTTCAAGTTATGCCCTGCTGGGTAGATGCACCCTTATGCTCTATATGATCTCTAAAGCTAATAAACAACACTACTCATTTCTATAGTATGTTTGGGGGCAATTTTGAATGTAAATTCCAAAGACCCCACTGAGTCTCAGAATTATTATTATGGTTCATATTCACTTGAACAGGGATTGAAATTTTATTACAGTTACAGTAATTGGCGTATTTTTATGGATTCATTTTTTAATTTGGCACCCACTCAGACTTCACTGCTCATGCTACAATAGTAGCATGATGAATTACTGTGAGTTTTTTATTCATTATTATTAAATTTAATTATTTTTGCTCATGTACCCAGATGTGAACAGCGTCAGTTTTCTAATCTAATAATACAGGCTGTTTGGAAAATATGTGCTGTCAATTAGAGGCATTTTATAATAGAAACGATAAAAAGAATCATTAATGAAAAGTAGTTTGCCTCCCTATGTACTGGCTTCAGTTAATCAAAGGTGCTTTGAAATTGAAATCATTAATTAACTTTGCCTGTTTGTGAACTGATCAAGCACTCTGAGAGCAGCTGAGAATCTGTGAAATGAAGTTCTTCTGAAAAAGAAAACAGCATTAATAGTCTCTGTTTTTTCCAAATGATAAATTTTATTCTCTGCTATCAATAGCATATTCCAACAAGACTGTTGCATTGTTTACCATATTTTAAATAAATAGGAAACAGAGGATCTGATTTCAGGTGAATTCATGTTGGGTATTTGCATTGCAGGAAAGCTGGGTGAATATTTTTCAATTAACCTTTTTGTTTGTTTGTTTTTGTTACCAAACAAGGCAGATTTAGATTGACCAAACTATTTAGCAAATTGGGGTTGATTTTGGTCAATGTTTTTGGCACAAATGTTTTGTTTTTCTCTGGGTTTCAAAATGAATCAGTTTTATATTATCAAAATAAACAATTTTGGTTCTTTGGAAAAACTCACAAAACTACTAGGCTGTGTCTAGACTGGCCAGTTTTTCCTGAAAATCAGCCGCTTTTCCGGAAAAACTTGCCAGCTGTCTACACTGGCCGCTTGATTTTCCGCAAAAGCACTGATGATCTACTGTGCAAAATCAGCCGCTTTTCTGGAAAAGCTTTGCCACTCCTGTTTGGGCAAAAGTCCTTTTTACGAAAAACTGTTGTGCAAAAGGGTCAGTGTAGATAGCTAGCTAACGCTTTTGCAGAAAAGCAGGCAAAATGCAAAAAAAGCGGTTTGGATGCCGGAAGACCCCGTAGGAGCCCCGGACTTCCTGGTAACCCGAGCTCTTAAAGCAGTCTCAGGCTCCTGAGCGCATGTGGCAGGAGCGTGCCTCAGACCTCCAACCCTGGGCTCCCCTGCCCTGTCCAGCAGCCATCTCAGCCAGCCATGGCAGCTCAGGGGGCTGAGCCACCTGCATCCCCAGCACAGGAGGCCCCCAGGGGCTGGAAACGACGGGCCCTCTTGTGGTCACCCAGGGAGCTGGAGACCCTCCTGGACCTTTAGGAGGAGACGAGGGCCTCTATGACACCAGGTCCCGGCGCCACAATGATGACATCTATGGCCGCATGGCCCAGGTACTAGCCCAGCAGGGACATCCAGCCCGGAACCTCGATCAGGTCCGGGCTAAGGTCAAGGAGCTGCGCCTGGGTTACGTGCGGGCCAGCGAGGGCAGGGGGGCAGGACCAGACACCTGCCCCCACTATGACCAGCTGCATGCCATCCTTGGCCAGCCAGCCCCCCAAGCCCCGGACCGGACCACTGAGGCAGGGGAAGGAGACAGCAGAGCATCGGAGGAGGAGGCCAGCATCGCCACCCAGCAGGCCCCCTCCAGCAGCCCCTCCGAGGCCTGGGAAGGATCCACCGGTGAGTCTTGCACTTTGCACTCACAAGGGCAGGGGACGGGGGGGCGGAGCCAGGTGCCCGGAGGGGGCAAGGGGAGAGCATGTCACTCAGGCCACGTGAGCTGCTCGCTGTGTAGCATTAGGCAGCAAGCAGCACGTGCAACCACGTGCAGCCTGGTGACCGAGCGGCACATGGCCGCGGCAGGCAGCTGCAGGGCAAGTCTGGGACCGTGCTGCTCACACACATTTCGGTGGGACCAAGGGGAAGGGTGGATGCCGACTGGAACTGGCCAGGGCCCCAGGGACTCAGCCCAGAACCCGCACCTCCACCAAGGGTGCAGCACGCAGAACGGCACACTGTCCCATGCCTGGCTGTGAGGCACAGCCAGCTGCTCTTGGGTAAACCGCAGCATCACAGCCCTGTGAAAGTGGCCCCCACCGAGCCCCTCGCCTGTTCCCGGTGCCTTGGCTGGCTCCCCGAGGGAAGTCCCCACTGCGGCCACACATGTCCCTGGGCTACGTGTGTGAGGGATAGTGTGGAGGGGAAGTGCTCGGGCCGCCCTTAGGGCCACCTGAGTTTTGCTGCAAGGATGGGACACCTCCCCCCAGTCACTCTTCTGGTTTCTTTCCAGGAGATATCCCACGCGATGGGGGTCTTAGAGCCCAGACCACCTCTGCCAGATGTGCTCCCAGGTACTGTGTGGAGATGCATC